AAAGTAGGCAGTAGTAGTTGACTGTATGGGCGTTAGAAGGTCCCGAGACTAATCAAATGGCGACAGTGAGCAGTGGTCTTCGCAGGAACGTAAGACCACCCACTCTGAATCGTTTGCAAAAATCTTTGGTGAAATAAGGCAGACACAGACAGATACCATCCGATCATCCCTCACATATAATAAAACAAAATATCTGAACGTGACAGATACACTCGAGCATAGATAATACCTAAGAGATGCATTCGCTAAAAATATGATTTGCGACGAATATCGTATCTTGCCAACGAATATCGTAAAAATGATAGCGAATTTTCGCTTTCCTACACTTCAATATAAAATATATTTAAATATGTATTTTTTCTAAAATGCCTTTGTACCGCTATCGTCAGCAGTTTTCACTTCTCATTTGCTTGATCGTCTGTTTTATTATGAATTTATCAAATGTGTTTTTGGTCTGTAGCAGCTTAGTGATATAATTCCTTGTAATGAGTTATTGGTGACAGCCATCATTACGAAAAGGAAAAAACGAAAAAAGGCAAAATAGAAAGACAAGTAAGTAAAGCTACCAACTAGAAAATCTTCTTTAAATTATTTGTTTCACTTGCAAGTCTTGCGTGCGCCTGATAAGAAAAAGAAATTTTGAATTTCCTATACGGTATATATTATCTATCTCTTTTCTTCTTTATTTCATTATATTTTCTTTACTAACACTTATGTGCGTATGTGTGACGAGTAAATAACAATTAAGCCAAGAAAATTATTATCATGCTTTAGATTTCTGTATACCTGTTCACCCCACAGTTTATTGATTACTTCGTCGTTATAACTAAAACTAGTTTCTTCCTCTATGCGCTCCTTTAAAAAATCTAACTAAAGATGAACTTGGGATGATAATAAGCTTTTAAACTTTTATTTGATGCTCATAATTAATTATTAGGTGTTTGTGAAAATTCTTGTCCGTTATTTTAAGCAATGATAAACCACATATTCGCTTGGATTGCGGTTATGTTTCTTTGACATTTCCTCCTATTATTTAACCAACAGTTGTCTGCATGCCTAGCAAGGTTTTTTTTTCAAGTAATTTTTTTGTACGGAATAGAAGCGGAAAAAACTACGCACATGTTATGTTATATGAGTTTGCAAGCGAGTGACTGAGTATTGAAAGTAAAAATAAAAAAAATTTCAAAACAAAATTCTATAAATCATTTTTCAGTTCTTGGAAAAGTTGAAAGAATGGGTTAGGATTAGTCTTTCCCGAAATAATGACTTCAATCGAAACGAAGAACTTCGCCGATCAAGCAGTTTGCTCGAACTGTCATCTACCTATTATCACTGAAGAAATTACCAAGAGATTACATGTTAACAACTTGGGCGCATTTAAGCCAGATAATCAGTCCCGGCATATTGACAGCCGCACTACTCATCGTCTGTCAAGCGTATAAAGAAATGTTTCTAAATCAAATCCTAGATGCGAATGAAGAATGGATTCTAATGGGAAAGAAAGCAACTGAAAAAGTAGGTCAATGAAAGGATAATCGCTCGCTCGCTTGGCCATGAATGCGAAAGAAAGCGTCTTTGTATGTCAACAGATAGTTCCTAAAATGGGGAGGCGTCACAATAGGAAAGCTAGCATTTGTTTCATTTAATGGACCCGTCAAAATTTGCAAGATCTGCTTAATCTTCAATAGTTAAAGGTCGAAAGTTTTTCTTGCTTTTTCAGATACTGATCTGTTCCGTTTCTTATAAACATAATGCCAATAGAAAAAAAAAACTGGACTCGACGCGAGAATCTTCCGAAGTCTTCCGAACTTATTTAAAGAGCTACCACGCCTGACATTTATAAAGGAAACGATTTAAAGCGGCTGCAAAACTTTAGAAGACAGTTCTAGAAAATTTATTACTGATGCACAATGCAAGAGTTTTGATGAAAGCTTGGTGGTCGCTTTCTAGATCCGACCAACCTTTTGCGAACATCCCACATTTCATAACTCAATGAAGAGATTCGTGTGATTGAAAATCATAACAATTCTACTTTAGTGGTCTTTAGCTGTTGGTTCTGTAATTTGTTTTTTTTCTTTTATTTATTTATTTTTTTTGTTTCTTTTCTATTTCTTTTGTAATCGTTAAGTCGTATCTTTTAAGATTTACAATAAACAGTAGCGTTTCTATTTTAATGATTCTACATAGTTTACGGTCATTTCGTAGAATTTCCATTCCTAAGTAATTTACGGAGAATTATTTAACCTGCGTTGTAAAAAAAGAAAAAAAAACAAAAAAAAAAAACAAAAAAAAAACATATATATATAGAGTCAAGGTATGGAAAATAATCCATGATTTTCTTCACATATAATAAGCCCAATAATAGTTTATTATATTCCTTCCATTCTAAGAGTTCAACCAAGAGCAGTTTCAATTGCAAATTATCTCCATACAATATGTTTTAATTTCATCTGATTTAATAATAACTCAATGGAAAGATTTCTCCTATAGCACAGTAGTAAATCTTCAAATGGAATAAATCGAAAAAAAGACGTCCAAGGCCATGAGAATTATTTGAAACTATCATATAAAAGCTATACTGACCAGAAATGATTAAATGTCTTGCTATAAGATGTCTCTACAAACTCCCTTTCTCTTCTCTGAACTCTTCTCGCTTACATAAATTTGAAAAACAACTTACTCTAAAACTATATAATTGACTAACAAACCCAACTGAAATAATGATACTTTCATCTAAAATCTATGCAGACAAGATGCCATCTATGATAATATGTATACTAGGATCCATTGGAGGGCATAAGTGCTGCCTCGAATGCTTTCAATAATTAACTCAAAATTCCAGTTGAATATCTTAAATACTATTGGCGATCTAGCTCAAGCTTTGACGAGCAAGTAAATGAATGAAAGTCGAATATTGATTTGCTGATCAAGTCGATGTCTTTAAGCATCAAACCTTATTCGAAATAAACAATCTCTTAAATGAAAATCAGTAGTCATTACTGAATGAATGGCATAGGAAACAATTCGTTGTCACACAAAAATATTATTGACGCCGTGGATGAATCTTTTGTGCTCACCAGCTTTATCTTAATGAAAAGTCGAAAAAGTGAAAAATTACGTTTTAATTCTTCTATAATATTAAGGGACGCGGCCGATTTTTACCATATTTATTTAGGAACTACAGAAGCATCTAGCGAATTTTTTTATTGCTGTATTTATTGCAACTTGTGAGTGATAAACAACAATCCATCCTTTTATACCTTGCCATCAAAGGATTAAAGGATCTTTCTCAGCCAATACCTTTGCAATCAGCAGAAGGAAAGTTCAGCATCGGCATTTGGAATCAGTACCAACTTCTGAATCTGTGTCCGTCTTTAGAAGCGTCCCTCTGTCCCTCTATTTAAAGTCTATGGTATTCCTCTGGAAGACATCGTGCTCCAATTTACCAAAAAAATTATTAAAAATTCTTGCCCATAGCTTGGTAACAAAAGCGAACTACATCGGTCACCCAAGACGCCCGTAGGTTAGCATAAAGCAAGAATGTCTGTGCTTCGTAAAGCAAATTGTTGATTAAATAACGCCCTGCTCATATTTGCTCGTCACCTCCAGATATTCCCACAATATTAATATGTTCTACAGTAAGCATTGAAACCATGAAAAATATTATTCGACCCAGAACTTTAGCTATTCGGTAATACGGATGATGTTATAATTCTCGTACAAAGATGGACATCGACCATGCTCGACCAACACTATAGGTTGTTGAAATTTAATTTTTTTCTTCTCTTTACTCTTTTTAAGACGATAAAGGCCATGGGTGTAAAAGATTCGATCGCAGACAGATGTTGTTTTCTTTAATGTTAAAAGGATTACGCAACTTAAGGAAGGGACATCACTGCATATTTCCAAAAATTGCAAACCAGTGGACAATAAAACACCTTTCTGTAATCCCTTTCAAGACTTCTAAAAGCTTTTTCCTAAAGCATGATTTTTGAAAACCGCCCATGCAACATCTCCTACATTTTTCATTCCTTTCATTCCAGTTTTTCACTACATCGTTAAAATAACATTCTCCAGTACAGTACGTAGGGGATTTTTGATCAATTAATTTAGATATTTTTTAAGGAATATTCTCATCTGTGCAGCCGCTTCTGGAGTTCCTTAAGTGAGAAGAAGTAGTAAGTAGTGAGAAGTAGTTGGATATTGTCTCCCCCAACTGTAACGAGTACAAATTTGGGGCATTGATGTAACGAAACTGTCCCTATTTCATCTGTGGTAGTGAATCGCTTTAATACAGTACAAACAATGCCGACTAATTTTTTATACCCTGCACTACTAATAAAACAAGTTTGTACGGATGTATGCAACATCCAGGATGACTCGAGAGAGACCCACCTATTATCATACCAATCGATTTGGGATCACTTTCTTAACCGCTCTCAGCTTGTCTATTCGCTTGTCCGTCTGTCTTCTTGTTTTCTTGTCTTCAACCTACAGGTAACAATTTTTGAGCTATTTTGGTAAAATTCGTTACACTGACGTTTTGCACCCCACCAACGAAAATGGCTCGAATTGGCCCATTTTCTCAATCACTTCCCATATAATGCCTTTTTTAAGAAGCCTCCTTACGGATAATTATAAAATGGTGTAGGTTATTTAATGGTGGGACTTTCCCCACTATAGTGTTTCTAATTATTTTTTTCTAAATTGGAGGTTTTAGATACATGTGGACAGCGCGTGCTGGCAGCTTGACGGTACAACTTGCCACACAACTTCTAAAGCAACAGCGTTTATTGAACTGGAATGACAAAACCGCTACAAATTCATTGCAATTAATATTTCAGTCGATTTAATAGACTAAATAACCTACAAGAGCAATGTAAGGATTTAAAATTTTTCCTACAACGCATATAATATATATTTCATGGTATTTTTTTTTTTTGCGTTTCTACAATTTCTTATATGGTAGTAGTTGATGTAGGGGGGATATATGCACATACCTGCGTCATATGTTGCGCTGACTCAAACACACCGCTGAGCGATTGTACTATTAATTGCGTTACTTCCAGTGTTGGTGTTACGCGCTGCAGGGTCTATTTTATGGAGGTAATATTAATGTTGTTGTTATAGTTTTTTTTTTTTTTTTTCACGCTTTATAAAAATAAATGTATTGAAAACGAAAACATAAAATTTAACCGAATTTTTAAAAACACTGCACTTTGAATTGCTGAATGAAAAAGATTTCATGCGTGGTTGTAAACTTTTTCATTTATTTCTTGTATATTTATTTCTTTTTAAATTTCGGTTTAATTTTATGTTTTTGTTTTTATTTCTTTTTTTTTATTTTTCAATAATTCCAATTCGCAGTCAAGCTGTTGTGCTTTACTTATTTGATTTGAAAACGTTTTTAATAAGAGATGTTATTAATTTTTTATTTATTTATTTATGTTGTTTTTGTTTTTGCAATTTCTTAACTTAACCGCATAAAAAAGAGTGGGCAGACTTACAAAAAAAAAAAAAAAAAAAAGAATTATTATTAGATTAGAAGCCACGAAGAACAAATGTTTGCTTTAGATTTAATAATTTGAAGGCATTGATTTTATTATATATTTTTTGTTTTGATTTAACGAAAATATTTGAAAATCTTATTCTTTTATTTTTCTAATATCAATTTAACGCATTATTTATCTATTTTTATTGAAATATATATTCTTTCATTTGCTTTATTATAAACGCGCCACTGCATTCACTTTCTGTTCTGTTCATTTAATTTCTTCTTTCACGCCAAAAAACAGAAACGATAATAAGATCAATCTTTTTTTATTTTTTTTTTATTTTTCTTTTTTCGATCAAAATATCTTCACCTTCTTCTTTTTTTTTATTTTATAGATTTTGATTTATACCGCAGAACAATTCTTCGACCGATTATACTCAAATTATTTGCTATAAACCGTTTTAATTTTAGCGACTATTAAAAAACATACGTTTCACTTCACGAGAGTTTCATTGTCAACTGATTTACTCATTCTCTCACAAAATTCAAGTGAACCTGAAAAGAGAAGAATTTTTTTTGATATTTCTAATTAATGCTATCATATGCAAGAAAAGAGAAGAGCAAAAAAAAAAAAACGAAGAACATTAACACGAGAGATAATACCACAAATCTGTTATTATTATGTGCGATATCGAAGAGAGTGTGTATACAAATGCATATTCTCATAAAATATACAAATCATTTTCTTTCGTTTATCACCATACGCTTAAATATTTAATCGGGAAATATTCTAAATAGTGATGCTTTAGTATGTGTAGGGATGATTAATTTCAATTTCCATTGAAATTGGTTTAATATCGTTTACTAGCTTACGATATGCTATCAACATGCCTTGATGAGGTGATATCCTATATACGTATACACTAAATACACACACTATATAATTATGTATTATGTTATATAAATTTGTTATGTTATGCGTTTATTAGGTTGAACAGTCTTCTTTTCTGTCTTAAATGTTAATAAATCGCATCTGAACGGATCGTTGATTTATTTTCTGTGAATATCATGAGATTTTTGTTAAAGAAACATTAACAGTCATTTAAGTATTGACCGGTCATTCTGTCACGAAGGTTTTGTTTTTCCTGTACGCCCCCATTATAAATAGTTTTGTTCTGATTATCATCTACCCCTACTGCTAATGCTACCACGCTACTGACGAATCAGAGAGAGATTACCTAATAATCATTAGATTTTTTAAAAAAATTTCCTGAATTTTTATTAAATTTTATTGTGATTATATTGGGAAATCAAAAAAATTATGTCGTTTACATAAAATTTTATCATATCACTGAGATTTATCAAAGTATTCTCGATTTGGTCTCGAAGGCTTATCGAGAAATCTTGAAATTAATATCATCTCTTAGAGAATATACCACCTGAGGACATTTATCCGAGAATCGATAAATTGATAGTTATTTTACAAAAATATATTTTTTACATTTATCGAATTCTGTTATTATTCGTTAAAAATAAGGAGAACTGTAAGCGTCTTTTGGCAAACACGCTGAATTAAATAAATGATGTTCATTCTGCAATCGTCGCGAATTGTTGCTATTTATCATAGAATGCTTGAAAATTCATGCAACAATTTCTCTAATTTTTCTCTTAAAATATTCAATTCTCTTTGTCTCTCTCTCTTTCTCTCTCTCTCTCTAGCCTGCTTTACAATTTAATTTTAATTGTATTTGCGATTGTTTTGAATATGTATACATATATATATATATATACATATATACATATATATATTTTATGTTGTCTGATCAGTCTTTTACACTGATAATACTACTATGAAGAAAAGTAAGAGTTAAACAATTTGCCACTGAAAAAATTGAACTGACATATAATTCTTATCTACATTTTTTCCTTTTTTTTTTTGTCTTTTTTTTTGTCGTCAATAAAACGAACATCATTAAATAAGATAATCTGAACGATGAACGGCTTCTCATAGTTGCCAACAAAAATTACTAATTATTGCCATTATTTTTGGATTTTTTATATATTTTTTTGCTATTATGAGCCATAACTCACTTGGATACGAACAGTTGAAAAATAATTTGCAAATTTTACCATAATTAAAATTGTGTTTGTTAATTGTAAACAATTTAAAAATCACCCTTCCCTAAACACGAACTCAGCTATTCCATTAATCTACTGATGTAACAATACCTTCACAGATCTTGAAGTTCAGCTTTTTATTAAGAACTTTCGCTGTTCTATAATAACGAAATTAAGTTTTCTCCTGAATGGAAATACAAGAAGTTGTTGCTGACTTGAAAATAAACAACTTTTTAGAACCTCACGATAGGTAGGTACCCCAAAAGGTAGCCTATGCATCACGATTTACACGTTAGGATTATCCGTCTATGAGAATGTGCATACATATATGTAGAGTATAGTATATACTATAGTATGGCGTACTATAGTAGTATAGTATATAGTATAGTATATAGTCTTGTAGAATCTAAAATATAAAAGAAATAATACTCTCACTAGTGCCTCTAATGATGGAATTTGATTTCCAATAGTAAGGCAGATACGGCCATCCAAATACAGTTTGTATACTAAAATCGTAATATAGCGAGTGCAATCTAATAAACAGCACCTATGCTGATATGGTGAGGGCAAATTAAAAAGCAATTTTAATATATAAAAATTCAACAAAACAAAAGCAATTAGAAAGGACCCGAAATGAAATACGTTCACCCAAGCTACTTTATATACGACAAACAATAGCAGCGGGCTCCCACCGTAAAATTGTAAACATATACTACTATAGAAATTTTTTTTAATGAATAGATAGACCGGTCAGTAAAACGTCATAAGCAGTGTTTTCACGTAAGGTTACCCAAGACACAAGATCAATTGAAATCATATTAACCACCACCAATTTACGAAAACCTACGTTAAAAGAATAAGAAATATTTGGCTTAAGTCGAAGTATCAGATAGTTACAGTTTAACTAACAGCAAATAGTCACCCAAAGAACTGAAGCAATTGAGTTGAATTTGAAGAACTAACAAAGTATTAACTAAATATGAAGAATACCTTCATTAGCTGAGAGAAAACGTTTCGACATCTATTGGATAAATCATGATACAATGCCATCTAAAATGTATTAACCTTCAAATTTTATTTCTTTTCTCGGGATAAAAATTACGCCCCAGCTTAGATTACGCCTCTTGATCCTGACTAAGACTCCCTTAGCAGATGTATAGTCCAAGAAGAGATATGAAACCAGTGACTTGAGTCAAAAAATTTCTAATATTCATTATCTGACTTATGGTAAAAATTTGTTCAAAAAGTATTAAAACTAAGAGTAGAAATAACTTTTCTTAGTCCCAAATTAAAGCAACTTTACATTGCGCAAATATCAAGAACAAGATCAAAGATATTTTCAAATGCTACCTATAAAATGACAAATCTAATAGACTGACTTGTAATTGGTATAAAGACTAAATACACAATGCTGAGAATAACACTAGATAAGCAGTGTAGCGTATCAAATAAGAAAAGGCGTAGCACACGTGCAACAAATGTGTTTTAAATTTTAAAAAATTGCCTTTGTATACACAAGGCATATATAGGACTGTGTAAAAACTGACAAACTACGCAGATGAATAATTAAAAAGCAGGCAAGCATATCCTATAAATAGCATATATGACACATTTGATTAAATCATAATTATGTATATACACATATACATGTATATGCATAAATGGAAAAAGTATAGTAAAATAAAATTATTTCATATTTCATCTGTTATTTCTATTGCAAAGGACTAATATTTTCTAGTCGAGTATACACAATTCTATAAAAAAAAATGCCTACAAAACAAGTGCATTCCAGAAGAGAGCATAACAGTTTACTTATACTCCTCTTCATGCTATCTCTCTTTTATTAAAAATTAGTCTCTACTTATAAATAAAAAAAAAAAAAAATGAAAGAAAAGAGCACAGAGAGAGAGTCTCTCTTATTGTACGCAAGAGTGCGTAGATTATATTCGCTTTAACGAGTAATAATTTTATGAATGAATTTTTCTTTTCGATCACACTTTAAACTTTATATGATTTTGTATCTTGTTGCTTGTTTGCGTTTTTGTGTCTTTCTTTCTTTCGTTACTTTCAAAATGCCTACGTACGGCACTTTTGTCGTAAAAGTATTCATGTCCCCTTCCGTGCCTATGTATCTCTAAATTCTTGTTTATAATGTTTTTATACTTAGATATTCGTTTTATTCTTCATAACTCTTAAGAGTGAATTTTATGCAAAACTGTAAGTAAAGGTAAGTGCGAAGAGATGATAATAATAGTAAGCTTAGGTGCAAGTACGCCTTATAAATATGAGTATATAGATATATGCTTTACTTATACCTTATATGGTATGCACATATGTTTTTTAAATGATAAAGAAGACATTATGAAAGCATTAAGATATTCAAAAATCGTTTGACTGATTATGTTACTTCTGTATAACCACTGCCTTACAATTTTATAAAATTCTCAGTTACGATTGCGATAATGTTAGAAGAACATGGCTATGTCTAGCTCATTATTATAACCAAGGTTGTGTCCTTGTGTACTTAATTCGTTCAACTTTCCAATTATTAAATCCAGTTAATATTCTCCTTCGCCATTCAAAATGTTGACGAAATTTCAAACTTTCCCTAAAAAGCTATTTTCATAAGTCACTGTTATAGTTAATTTTGCACCTAAAACGCCCAAGGTTTTAAGAGAAAACTGACAAAAAATATCTAAAATTTTTATTTTCGACACCACCAAGACGCGTTTCTCTTTAAATGCAAGCACCAAGCTTTACGTTATTAAATCTAAAAATGTTAGCGAAAATTAAACTTTCAGAAATGTATCATTATTGAGGTTATGTCCGAAAGTTTTCCAACATAATTGAGATCATTTTCACTTAGTCAAGTTGATGGAATACTTTCTTTTCGCAACGAGAAATCCCGAAAATAAAGATAAAATGCCTTTAGGTCGAATTTATGAAAAACAAGAATCCTACAAATAATTCCAAGTCAAAGAAAAAGTACCTCACCGCTTGAGGTCAATTTTATTTATTAGGCACAAAGGTCTTAATGGAATATTATGACCCCTCTCTTTGTTTTATGGATATGTAAATCTATAGAGTAAGCAAAGGGATAGAGAAAAACAAGGTCATAGTTAGATTTCTCAAAAGCGCTGATTAACTCATAATCAACTACACATACGATATTTTCAAAATAAAACCCATCCATAGGCGGATCATAGACTCCATGAAGATTATCTTGGAGGAATTTCAATAAGTAATAATTAATAAAAAAAAAAAAAAAATGAAAAGAACAAACCTCCCTTCCAAACGTTTTCTATTCTCTACTCTTCGATCTAAGATGCGCCAAATTTAAATAGAATAATTTAAAGTTGAATTTCAAAAATTAGACAAAATTCATTTTATTCGTCTGAATGCCTTTTTACAAAATCCTAGCTTCAAAAATGCTATGCTTATGCCAAACATTTCCTAAATCTAGGATTTTGGTAAAAGCCGCTTCAAATATATAAAAGTGGAAATTGTCGTAAAATAATAAAAGAGTAGAGCGAAAAACATATGTAAACCTATATAAAATACATTCAAGTTTGTTGTTTTTTCTTTTACGTATAACATATAATAGAATTAATTTTTTTTCGCGTCCATGGAAGTCGCACTGCTCGACCGTTGCGCCAAAATACTTTCCAAAATAAGCATTTTCGAATTGTTGATAATCTCTTCGAAGGTTTTCAGATCATTTTCCTTTTCCGCTACAATATAATCTAACTTCTCTTTCAGCATAGCTATCTTTTCATTGGCCAATTCAAGGCTACATAATAACAGGGGGGAAAGATGTTAAGAAAATATTTTTGAAAATTGTAATAAAATAAAAAAAAAAACATTTCACAAACCGATTTTTCAAATCGGATATATCATTTACGTCGTCTATATCGTTTGCATTAAAATTATGATTTGATATCGCTTTGCCGCTATTCAAGGTAACATTTTCGAATGTCATCGAACTGAATGAGGTTGTACTACCTAAAGCGTTCAAACTGTTCGAATAGTCGTGGATACGTTGCGTGCGTTTGCGTCGCTCTTGATGCGAATCAAATTCTTTTTCCATCTCACCTTGAAATCAAAAAGAAAGATCAACTTTTGCTGCTTTTCAGTTCCGAATGTCATATCCTTACGTAATTTTACTTCCAAACGTGCGATACGTATCTTTTGCTTCGACAACAATTCCTGTAAATTTTCATTTTTATGCCGCTCTTGATCGATGCGTTCATTCAGAGTCTTATTATGCTGCACAAGATAATTTTTCTCCGATTCCAATGTATCCAATATGGTAATGAATTCTTCCTGTTTGGAAAATTCATTCTTTCAAAATATATTTCCTTCAAGAAATTTTAATATATAGCCGAGATATTCGTTTTTTTTTTCTTGCTCTAACAAGCTTCGTAATAACAACACCTAGTTGTTCTTCGAGATAAAATTATTGTAAAATGTTACATAAGAAAGTATTTCAGTTCTCTCCTAAGTTCTATAAAAACGTATCAAATTACGCTACACTTCAGTTCAATTCGTGTATTGAAAAACCTTTCTAGCTATGTTAGTTGACCGTAGCAATGAATTTTGCTAAAATAATAGCTCCTAAGCTAAGTACTTACGAAATCTTAAGCTGGGTTGATCTTTAATCGCGATGACACAAAAAAGGCAAAAACAAAATATATTCGGAAACAATCTTCACCTTTCTCAATTCCCGGCAAGAAAATAAAAATCCTCCGCAAATCGCTTTTAAATCGGTTTCCAATTTCTTTATCACCGCTTTCATTTCATCATTATAACCATCCTTGCTCTCCATGGTAAGCTTGAGGTTTTCGTACTTATGACGCATGTGTTCCTCTTTAAGTTCTGCCTCTTCTCGTTGTTTCATCGCATTGGATATTTCACGGTTCAATTCCTCAATACGTTTATCATAAAGAAATTTTTGTTGATTTAACTTATCATTCATGGTGGCTATGTTAGTCGTATTGAACTCGGTTTGCTCTTCCAAAGAATTGGTTTTCATTTTGAAACGCGACACTTCATCGTTAAGGGTTTTATTGCGCACTTTTAATGCTAAAATTTTACCACGAGACTCCTCAAGTTGTGATTTTAAATTCGCAATTTCTTTTTCGAGACTTTCAACTTTAGCCCGATGCTGTATTTCGGACTTACGCACGCTGGGCCGTTCGTAAGAGCTTAAACTTAAATTGGACAATACCGAAGGTGCCGGTATAGATGCTCCTGCTATTCCGGACTCTGCTCCCTCGAAAACTAAAGAACCGTCTTGTCCTTCCGAAATTAAAGGATTTGAATATTGGGCAGTAAGATTAACTGGGCTTTCGTGGGCTTCTAAACGCTCCTTTAACTCTTGGACTTTTTGCTGCAAATGTAAAATATGTTGAGCTCGTCCCCGCCAATTTGAACTGTTCGGATGTGAGGCCAAAATGTTTACATTAACGTGTTCGCCAACTTCTTGTTGCAAACATTTTTGCGTTAATTTTAATTGACTATGCAATTCCATATTCCGATTACGAGTCTCAAATAATTTTTGCTGTAAAGCATTATATTTGGATTGTAATTCCTCCACAGGTGTGATATTCTGTAACATATTTTGTAAAATATATTTTATATATTTTTCTCTACTGTAACCTAAAAGCTTAGCTTACCACTTTCTTAAGTAATTCGGTATCTTTATGGAATTTCTCTGCACTCATTTTCAATTCTCTCTCCATTTTTTGGATTTGTAAATCTTTTTTATTTAGACGATTTTTTGTAGTTTCCAATTCAGCCCTAAGCTGACGATTTTTCTTACTTAACTCCAATAATTTTGTGCTAGCAATAGATGAATTACATCTCAATTCCTCAATTGGTACAGAATTCAGAACATCATTTAACGAATTTACCGATTTCCTTAACTCAGCTATTTCTTGATTCTTTTCAGAAACTGCTATCGATAGCGATTCATTTTGTTCTTCAATTTCTACCAATTTCTTTCGGAGCTTCTTGGTCTCTAATTTCTTTTTCTCCCCCTTTTGCACGCAACCATTGGACATGGCTTTTTTTAAATTTTCCAAAGTTTTTTCTTCCCTTTTACTCTTACGACGTGGCGGAGTTTCTGTTCCCACAGCTTGATCTTGCGTTTCAACAATATCCATATTTCCAGTTTTTCCTTATCTCCAATACTTATTCAGTATTTTTGTTTTATTTTTTTTTTTCAAGAGAAATTTGTTGATCCGATTATATAAAATATTTTCTTTAAACTGATAATTGAAGAATGACAAATATAGGTACAGTGCGTTCCTTGACAGTGCTTTAGATTGGTTGCATACAATCAACATTAACTTAGTTTAGATTCAATATTACTCAAATCAATATTTTTAAGTAATTAGAGCACGGCAGTCACGTTCGCATATAACCCAAGTTCCGATTGACATTTAATATGTTTTAATTCAAAATTTTTGAAAAATTAATCCTTTCTGCGCAAGTTCATCTTTTCGCTTCTAAACATTTCATCTTTCAAAAAACTGATGCGTCTTACCTCAATACCATCTTAGGATACCAATTTACAGCTCAAACGAATGCAATGGCGTCCATCTTGATTTCTAAACTAATATTTCATTTTATAAAAACGCAATTCTTTTACTGAAAATCCCACAGCTGACTTCACTTGAAGGTCACCGAAAATCTATTCTCTGAATTTTACGAAAACTATGCAGATTTTTAACAAAGATGTCGACAAGTAGTTGTAAGTGAAAATTTTTAAATTTTTTGCCTGAAATTTTCCATTTTTGCTGTTCAACATTTAAATATATTTACGCAAACTACTCTTATATAAATTTGTAAGAATTACTTTTACGAGAAAACTGCAATAGCAGGTTAAATCGTTCTTACTTCAATTCAAGTCTTAAATGTAAAACATTTTTACATACCTTTGTCTTTCTCTTTCTTTTAATAAAATTTTCGTTTTTTCGCTTCGAAAAAGGAAAAAACAATTTTGTAAAACCTACAATTAACATTTCAATTAAGTTTAATAATTTTACACTTTCCAAAACATTCATTTCGCGCAAATAACGCTGAACGTTAAAGCGGCCAACCTTCCAGCTTTTTATGCTAAATTAATACGCGACTTGGCAGCATTGGAAATCGTTTTAAAAAACCATATGTTTATATGCAAGCAAGGAATTATTAAAATTAAGCATTTAAAACTTCAAAAGCTTATTTCAGAAATAAAATCATTGCTAATGTAGACGCCTTATTAAATACAGCTTGAAAAAAAATTTTGTTACAACCGTTAACTAACCGTTAACCAATAGTTCTTTCTGTTATTTTTTAAGTTATTTATACGTAGGCAACTCTGTTCGACACAGCTGACAGAAAAGTATAATTCGGTTATTGGACAAAAATTTGCACCAAGAATTGTTTTAATTTACAAAACGATTAAATTAAATTAAAAGCAGAATTATAAAAGGTAATTAAAAGTAGAAAAGAAAACGCGATAATAGTGGAAGAGTTGAAAATTACTGTAAAGCGAAGCGAAAACTAAATTGTTTCCACAAACAATATTACATAACCTTTACTTTCAGAGGTTACTACTGATAAAAATTTGAATTTCTTAAAAACTATCTACGAAACTATTGAAAGTTAAACTACTTATGATTTTTTTTTTATAGATGTTGTCGCAATCAATTTTAAGCGGTGTTCGAGTATTGCGTGTGGAAATTCGCCGCAATATTGGTATCACTGCGCCAGCGCTTGAAAAAGTGGCCGATCCTATACAGAAATTATTTTTGGACAAAGTCCGTGAATACAAACAGAAAAGCGCGTAAGTTTCCTTAAAGAAAAAAGCAAAACAAATATTTTGATGTAATAAATGGAACTTTTTAGCGGTGGCAAGATGGTTGACCCCTCCCCCGAAATTGAAAAAGAATTGAAAAACGAATTGGAGCGCGTAGCCAAGCAATATGGCAGTGACGGGAAAACAGATATGACCAAATTTCCCGAATTCAAATTTCCCGATGTGAAGATTGATCCTATAACCAATTAGATTATAACCTTGCCAACTATCCGTTAGCTATCACTGCTGTGTTTTTTTTGTTTTTGCTTCAGAGAGCTGAAGCGGCGACGTTACAATGGTTTTAAAAATCATGTTGCGAAACATAAAACATTTTGTTTTCTTAGATCAATACAATATAAAATAAAGAAAAAAACACGAAATGTTATTTGTTTATCTTATTAACTGCATTTCTATCAATATGCTTAATGTGTTGAAATAATTTGTTGTACTGTTTCATTCAATAAATCCATTTTGTGATATTCTGCTATTCGATGGAAAGTTTGCAGCAAAGTGTCAATTTCTTTGCTTGAAATTAAAGGCGCAAACTCTCCAGCGCACGTACAAAACTGTGCCAAGTTTTCGCGTTTAATTTCGTTGCAACGCATGCAACGCAAATCCTGCAATACATAGGACATAAGCTTTCTTTGCATCACATCAATTATACGTATCTCGATGTCTTCATTGTCGTACGCTACGTAACATTGGGCACATAACCAAACAGGTCTGGAAAATTAAAAAAAAGAGCAAACAACATAAAGGTACACCGGCTGTCATCTAAAAATTTTGGTTGTGATAAACCTTTATAATGGACAGGAGAGAAAAGAGGATTTTTTTATATTTGGTTTCATTCAAGTTTCATCTAAAGCCAATAAACAACAAATAAGAAAATTATATAGGGTCGTGATCGAATCTTTATCACCGTCATCCATAGAAAGACAAAAAGAACTAAATTTTTCATTCCCTTTAATATGGACTGGGCGCTGCTGATTTTTTTCTATTTTTAAAATAAGAGTTTTTGTCGTGAGGGTATTGTAGGCGTGTCCTTGGAAAAGTTTAGGTCACTTCCAATTTCTTTTGCAAATTTGTAAGCGAGGTCGTCATTTTTGCGAACGGGGAACGCTCACCACAGATTCTACGCAAATGAGCGCACATAAGATGGACAGACGGCCGAGCTTAGATACATTCAAAATTTGCAACTGATAAGAACAAATTCAAAACTAACTTCTAAGCTTTAATTAATTTCAACGAATAGGCTAACGACAAACAGGCAGGCAAACATATCTCTATTGACTATAATCAAAAATATTCTCCATAATATCGTTATGCATGTGTCGCTAGGAAAAAATTATTAACTATATCTAAAATGAGAATTTATTTATGCCAACCGATTTTGGGACAGAATTCAGTCAATAAAAGTTCACCATCAAAGTTTAGGGCATCTATCCAATCCCTGTTGTTACTATGTGTGTAAAAATTCGTTTTGTACAAATTATACGCTCATATATATTATTTAAGTGCCATGAATTTTTAAAAATCTTTTCTACTTACGTTCCATCTTTCATGGCACGGTGTTTGTCCTTACATAAATCCACGTCCCGGCAATGATTGCAGGCTTTGCATATTACTTCGGCAATGGTGTAACTCTGATAAGGATCTTTCCATTCGGCTAAGTCGGAAAACTCTCCAATGCCGACCAAACGCAACATATTCCGACGCAATTCGTTGGTCTCTTCCGCCAGTCCTTTATCAACACTTAACACTTTTACAATAGCACGTATAAGATCCAAGCCAGGACTTGGTTTGCCTTTACCGTAATTTGTATGAAGTCTTATGACGAAATCAAAAGCAGAATGCGATAGGCCTTTAATAGCTTCTTTAGTCGTTTTACGTTCAGCCAACGAATGCATAAACAAAGTGATTAGCGCCTCGAACTTTTCACGGCATTGATTTTCTTCGGGCAACGATTCACTTATTGTCCAATTAAGTTCGAGTGATAATTGTTCTTCTTCGTCGTCAGCTACTATATCGATTTCGTCTCTCGTGGCGATCTCTTCAACATCGTCGCCATCATTATCATCGTCTTCGTTTTCATTGTCCACATTTTGGTTTTCTTTCTCATTTTGAGCGGCCAAAGCGGCAGCTGTTACATCCCCTAGAGTGGTTTCATCGATACCTTTAGGCAAACGCCCTCTTATACCCGAGTAATTAGCATGATCTAACCATAGCATGAAATCCCAACATTGCTCGAACGATAATTGAATAGAATGAAATATTTCCTTATTGCGCAACGATTGGACTATGTAATCTACATAGCTTATAGCATCGGCTACCGTCTTCTTACCCGAGCTAAGTACGATACGATTAAAATCTGCATAAATTATGGTAGCGCCGAGACGCTTAAACTCGGCTACTATACGTAAAAACATTTTACGCATTAAATTATTTAATGATCTTCTAAGGGCTGGATCATATAATAAAGCGCTGCTAGAGCGAACCCATCGATAGAAATGAACAATTTGGAAATCTGAAAATATGTTACGATTGATAGACACCTCTCTAAGCCAACCGTTAACCATTAAACGCATTATGCGAAAAGCAGCTGAGCAAAGAGCAGTTTCATCATAACTCGGCAATGTGGCTGCAGGTACTGTACCAATCATTTCTTCTAGCGAAGCTTGGGGTATCACATCAAATGTAATAGCTGAAGAAGCTCCTTCCAATTCTTGAATTTTAGTGGATTGCAATAAGGCACTTACTGCCAAACTATCTAAAGCCAATTCTATGCAAACATTAGGATAAAAGCCGGCATGATTTTGCACTACCGTAACACTGTCCTCGAATTCGGCGAGAAGTCTGCTATCATCGGCTTCTCTACCTCCGAGATCTGGTCTAGTCGTTGGCGACCACCACAAGACAAAATTATGCTTTTGCAGTAGACGAGCAAAAAACAAATCGGCTCCGAAAAGCACAGTATCGGGCGGCATGTTGCCAATGGGAACATGAAAATATCGACATTGATCCAACATTAACTCTACGACAGTATTGAGATTTAAAAAATGCCGCATAGAAGCGCGAGCACCTTGACGTTGCCAATCTAGTCCAGACAATAGAGAAGCGTCATCAGCTATATGAATTTGAGATTGTGGGAAATCAAGGAGTAGGGGAATTTGTGAACTTAATTTACGTCCTTCTATCGCTGTTTGCATACAAAGTAAGGTTGGACCACGTTTTTCTTCTTTGTAAGTCGTCAGCGCTCGTTGTATATGACGATGCACTTGTTTAACATCCACCTCTATAAAAATCTCGAAAGTATAATCTTCGGCAGGAATTTTTTTTGAATCATCTTCATTTTGCAAGTCTTTAATCACAGCCGATCGTTCAGCGGTATATAGGTTTTTCATATTTGGCATTTGATTCGCTCTCACCGTATCTAAAGCAATAATGATAGTCTTTTTACTAGCCATTAAGAAAAGGGACCAAATTTGTTTTTTGGACGCGGCGCTATTATGCTGATAAAGGAAAATTTTACGTAATACACTTTGCGAATCTTGCAGATACTTCACATACGCTTGCGAACGATGTTCCAACTGCTCTATAGAGAAGCTCTCCAAGTCTTTCGTAGCTAAACTTGCTAACCGTTTTGCTTCGTCTCTTTGTACAGCACACATGCAACCCATATCCATAAGAGCTCGAAACTCTAAAGTCATTTGTGTTTCATATATGCCTTCGATGTCCGGCGTAGCTAAATCGGCTAACATTCCCAAACAATTATCTTTAAACACTTGCTCGGGAAGACTGTATCGATAGAGATTGTAAACCGGTCGAGAACGTGGTAAAACTCTGTTCACCTTCTTCCACATTTGTCCCTCTTGAGGTGCAGCTAAGGTACGCTGATTAACGTAAAATATCCGCGGTACGGTAAGCTTGATTTTATGCAGTTCCTTGCCAATCATGGCCCACACGGTAAAGTGTCCGAAATCATCTACAGGTACAAGTTGCAAGACCTGCCATATCTGATCCAATAGCACGCGTTGCGTCCTGCGCAGAAAACCACCCAAAGTGGCTGTAGCGGTAATATCTTGTGCACGCATTTGAACATTATTAGGATTGGAAGACGAATGATTACTGCGAGATTTTTTATTTTGTTGATGATAACGATCGCGTCTCTCGAACTGCCAAGCCCATTTCTTCTTATGAAAGCGAACCCATTCTACAATTTCAGCACGAGTGTTACCTATAGGCGGAGGAGGACCTAAGGCACGACGCCAAGTATTTATTTCGGCATTTGCATCTACTACACTTTCTTCGTCATTGCTCTCTCGACCACGCTTGGTTACCCTGGGACGATTATCGACAATATCCGCTGCGTCCATTAAATCTTCAATATCTTGAACGTTTTCTGAATGCATTCCAGAATTTTCAGTAAAGGTCGGCTTAGGTTTGGGTTTTGTTACAAACAGTTCATTAATCCGTCGCTGTTTAAGAACATCGTTTTTTTCCATAATTCTTTTATGCAACCAATCGGGATGCTGTATGCGTGGTACTGGATTCGATAGACCTTGAAGAGCAGCTGGTATAGTAATGATTTTTTGTATGGCTCCTCCCAAACGCTCAATATAATAATTCCAATCTAAAACATCGCGAATATCCGCATCGCCCATACTATTATCCCTTAGCCATTTGCGCAAATGATAGCGTCTCACGCTCGGCTCGGATTGAAATATGGCTAAGGGAATGGCCCGCTCGGTAACTGGAGCACCTTCAGGTTTCTTTGATATAATATATTTACATGCTAAACCAGCATCTTTAACCATTTGCTCACCCAAAAATTCTGCCAATCGTTTAGCTGTTGAGATGGAAGTACTTTTTTGAGCACCATATTCTTCCAATTTTTTCGACATTGATTTGTTTTCAGCGATTAACTCGAAAAGTTCCGAGTCTGGCAAATTTAAACCTCGACTATATAAAACATCCAACCAATAATCCGCGACTTTAGCTACAGAAGCATAGCATTCTTCTAATGTGCTGCCAGCTAAGAAGGCTTCAAACACCGAACTCTGAAAATTTTTGATTAACTGTAATTCTCCGCGACGTTTAACTTCAAAACCTTTCAACTCAGCCAGCGAACCATCGAAATTAAAAACCGCATATCGTTTTTTCAACTTTTTACCTTCTTCCTTGGCAGCTGGTAAGACCATGGCTAAATAAGGCCCATCAACTTCAAAGAAAATGGAATTCTCTTCTCTAATTGTATAGTCGGGTAGCCCTGTTGCCCCGTGATCAGCCTTAACCAACTCATGATATTGATCATTAGTGAAATGATCTTTAACCATAGTATTTAATACCGCATTAGGATATGATATATTAATTTTCTTCTTCTTTTCGTCTTTGGTATGAACAGTAAACTCTTGCGGAAACGAGGCAGGCAATATACACCAAATACCATCGGTATCCAATTCTAATGGGCGGCCTACGCGTTCTATAATTTCCCGAGCTTTTGTGATAATATTAGAACCGGTAAGGCAGACAATACCAGCCATAGGCATAGAATGCCAGCGAGCGCCCCGACGCATTACATAACCATAGAAAGAATTTAAAATGCATTTATGTGCTAACTGCAACGAATCATAAAGTACTTCTCGGCCCTTAGCTGCTTTGATTTCGGCAGCATCACCTGACGCTAAAGCAGCACCGACAGCCGCTTTCGCCACTTTCGTAAGGCCTTTGTATTCATAACGCCTATCCCGAAAAGCTCTCACTGTATCCACATAGAAACTGTTCTCCTTTTGGCATATCGTGGAGGTTCGCGTCTCCAGTTTTGTAATTTTTACTTTTTTGTAAGCCTTGCGACAGTAATCAGTTAAACGTTTCTTTTCATAAGCGGCCTGATCTTCTTTGGAAAGTTCGTGAAAAGCTCTAATTGGTCCACCTGGGAATAAAGATGGAAACTTTTCAGTTTCAAGCTGTTGTTGAATTCTTTGAAATTCATTTCTGCTAGCCGGCAACATTTCACCGCGCCATAACCATTCCATACTGCGTTTACATCTCGCTCCCGGCTTATTAAAATCACAGGCAGCACAATCAGTCTCATTAACCATAGCCGATGGCTGCAGTCGATTAGTTAGAATAATATTCGGGTACATGGCGCCTACATCCAAATGATAAATTACTGGCTGCTCTAAACGATTAGGTATGTCATGTAAACTATTTAGTGCTGTACAAATTTCGTCTTTAACTTCCTTTAGATTAGTGACCATTTCCAAAGCAATGCCTTCTTCTACTTCAATCGCATGTTTCAAGACTTTTTCCACGTTCTGTGTCAACTCGCTAACCATATTCGGATCTAAACGAAAGCGGCACGGAATGTCAGCACGAAATATCCCCGACTCTAAGGCTTCTACATGGCCACCAACATAAGTTTCCGAATCCAAAACATGACCTTCATTAGATAATTTGTTCAATTGGGTTTGTTCTTTATTTGGATACACTATATTCGCGTGATATGCTTGCACCATGAGCAATGTTTCGCAAAGTGTGCCGGAACCTTTACGCAATATTTCATCCGGCTCCATTGGGATAATTGTATTCAAAGCAAATATAAAAGGATGAACATACTTCATGTAAAGATAATAGGTGGCCACGGCATCGGATACTGAATAATTGGCAAGCACTTGAGGCTGTTCGACAGCCATTTTGCACATATCTTCGGGATCTAATTCAACAGGATCGTAACGTAACTTGGCCTTAGCTACCGCTTTAAGGCCTTGGGAACCCACCGGCAAATATGAATCGCGTTTAACCTAATTAAAGTTTTAACAAATTAAAAGGCAATTGTTCGGCAAGATTAAATATTAAATACCCTAAAACAATTCGATTCCTCGCGCTTGTTTTTATCAGAAAATATCAAAATTATACGGATTGTCGTTGCTTAAGCGTTGATTTTTTAATAGGCGCTTTTATGGGAGGGCGGCTTAAAAATTATCACCAGCCCATCCAAATATTCCTCACATTCCACACTCATTAAGCTTTTTGCTTTTCTTTCTTTATAATGAATTTTTCAAGATAACTGCGTCCCTAAAAAATATTTCCATCCAATGTACGTTCAGTAGCTTTCGTCTTTGGGCCACAGTCTGCTATTACGCCAAATCTTGTCGTAATTTAAAAATAAAAATACATAGACAGACGCCCAAACTATCTTAAGTCCTGATAAGAGACAGTACATCGTTGCTAAAAAATTAAAATGTCGCATAACATTTCATCTTCACTCACCCAACAGAGGCAATCCATATGAATACTAGGACGACTTAAATAATTGCCATCGCGTAACTTTGAAAAACCGATTTCTTGCTTCATATCCAGATCGTAAACGGCGGCTCTAGCTTCAACAAAAGGCCAATCAAAGAAATCTCCATTATATGTCACAATAATATGAGGTCGTACCTCCATTATGTGATCGAAAAATTTCTGTAATAATTGCATTTCATTTGTCTCATTAAATACGATAAAATTCCCTTCAAATTCCGGTTTAGGTGTATATTCAAAATCATTTACATCCGACGATATAATTTCTCGATTCGTTATTAGATAACCTTGGCCATCGATCATATAAGAAATCATCATTATCTGATCACTTTGTGCATCGGGAAATTTTAATGGCAGTTTAGTGGTTTCAATATCGAAAGCGAAAACCACTGGTTCTGGTCGTTCAAGGATATCAGGCCGGGGAGTAATTATTGGCATTTCCATTCCACCGCTACGACAACGTATATTATACCATAAACCGCAGAATATACGCAAATCTATTGAAACTCGTACATGATATGGGACATCATGTTCACGTATATCCATAATGGAGTCCATAAAATCCAATTGTTTTTTGATATCCCCAGCAACATCGTCCTCCGATAATGCGTTCGCGGCCAAAGATGTGGCCAACATTTGCATGTAAAATGTATTGGATTTCTCACGTTCGATATTTTTACGAACAGCTGCCATTAGTTCGCGCCTAACTTTGGTCATAGCAGTTTGATTGAGAAAAGACAATTTTAAGTATTCTTGTTTAATACCCGATAAATGATTGGCCAAATCTAAATCTTCTTTGTATATATGTTCCACACCAGCCAATTGTCCCGAATATCTACGACTAAGAAATCTAGCCAATTCTACAGTTTGATTTTCACTAGCTTTAACCAATAGATAGGGTTTATAACACACAGTACATTTGAAACGCGAACCGTCCATTTGTATAAAGAATAAATCCAATGCAGCTACTAAACGGCGATCTTCATCCAAAACTTCAGTCTATGTAATAATGGAATCAAAGACATGATAAAATGAATTTTTTTTTGGTATAATTGAACATGAAAATCTTACTCTATGCATATTGATAAGATAACCGGTGCGCTCCAAAGTATCTTTAACACGATCAAAGCCGTATTTTGCATCAATTTTATCATTTTCCCGAGATTGCTTGTAGCCAGCCTCATTAAAAAAATCATCGCTTCAATAGGTATTAAACCCAAATAAAATCAAAAAAAAGAAAAAGGACAGAGTAAAATATTTTTTATTTACCCTTCTCCTCTTGTATCGCTAGTAAATTTTCCCGTATTTTGTAAAACATTTTTCTTACTAGTGCTTGGCTCCATTTTCCGATGGTTTTCTATAACAATGTTACGCTAAATATTTTTATTTTATGCAAATGAATTTTAATTCGACGGAAATTATTTGCTAAATTCTGTCATACTTTGGCGGCAAATATACTTATCAGCTGTTGGCTTGAGAAGATCAATTAACAATACCTGTTTAGCATTCAGTGTTGTAATCGTAGATAATAAGTTAAAGTAACCCTACTTTTTATTCAACAATAAGATGAAAGTAAAAATTATGCTAATTATTTATATTTATATTATCAGTCTAATTAAAAAAAACTTAGCGAATAAAATTTTCTCTCTTTCCACTTATCATAAAGCAAAAATTAGTTTTTTAAATATATATGATTTTCGATTTCAAATACGAAATCCCTTGCCGGGATTCTTTTGATTGTTAGCAACTACTGTTGGCTTAGCAATACTGTTTAAGAAAACAGAAAAAACATAAAAATTTACAAGTCATCTGTAATCATCTACATTTTGTTAAAAAAGTTCCTGAAGAAAGGAAATTTAAGAAAATCACTGGACTTGAAAGCTAAATAGAAGTGTGGAAATGGCCACTACATTGGAAGATAAATCGATATGGGAAGATGGCGAGGAATTGGGCGAAGAAGTTTTACGTATGTCTACTGATGAAATAGTAAGCAGGACCCGTTTAATGGATAATGAAATCAAAATAATGAAGAGTGAGGTTATGCGTATAACTCATGAAATCCAAGCTCAAAATGAGAAAATTAAGGACAATACGGAAAAAATTAAGGTAAGAAAGTGTGAAAGGATTTTCATATATTTGTATAGTCGATAATAAAAATATTTATTTATTATTCAGGTCAATAAAACTCTGCCGTATTTAGTTTCAAATGTCATTGAACTGTTAGATATGGAGGCACCAGAAGATGAAGATGACGGAGCCGTCTTAGTATTAGATAATCAACGTAAAGGCAAATGTGCCGTTATTAAGACATCAACACGTCAAGCATATTTTCTACCTGTAATTGGTTTAGTTGATGCCGAAAAATTGAAACCAGGCGACTTAGTAGGTGTTAATAAGGATTCATATTTGATATTGGAAACTTTACCTGCTGAATATGACGCCCGCGTCAAGGCTATGGAGGTAGATGAACGACCTACCGAGCAATATTCAGATATCGGTGGTTTGGATAAACAGATACAAGAACTGATTGAAGCAGTTGTCTTGCCTATGACCCACAAAGATAAATTCAAGATTTTAGGTATACAACCTCCAAAAGGTGTTTTGTTGTACGGACCTCCCGGAACAGGGAAAACACTGTTGGCTCGTGCTTGCGCGGCACAAACGAAATCAACCTTTTTAAAATTGGCCGGTCCTCAGTTGGTGCAAATGTTTATTGGCGATGGTGCCAAATTAGTAAGAGATGCATTTGCTTTGGCGAAAGAAAAGGCACCAGCTATCATTTTTATCGATGAATTAGACGCTATAGGCACAAAACGTTTTGATTCGGAAAAGGCAGGAGATCGTGAAGTGCAGCGAACTATGTTGGAATTATTAAATCAACTGGATGGCTTTAGCTCCACTGCCGATATTAAAGTGATCGCTGCCACAAATCGCGTAGATATTTTAGATCCAGCTCTTCTTCGTTCAGGTCGCTTAGATCGTAAAATAGAATTTCCTCATCCCAATGAAGAGGCTCGCGCACGCATTATGCAAATTCACTCCCGTAAAATGAATGTTAGCAACGATGTCAATTTCGAAGAACTCGCCCGGTCTACTGATGATTTTAACGGAGCGCAATGTAAGGCTGTTTGTGTAGAAGCTGGTATGATCGCTTTACGTCGTTCGGCTACTCAGGTGACACATGAGGATTTTATGGACGCTATTATGGAAGTACAGGCCAAAAAGAAGGCCAATTTGAACTACTACGCTTAGATGAGAGATTTATTAATAAGTGTTCTGCTAGCATTTCGGAGCGAGAAACGAATACATAAATAAAAAAAATAAAAATAATAAAATTGTTTTGATCGACAAAAGTAAAAAGATTTCGGATCAACATAATTTTCTTAATATCGAAAATGTAATATAAAAACTTTGCATTTTGAATGCTTACCACACACATCACTTGAAATCTTGGACTTTCATATAAAATGCATCGTCTATCGAGAATCTCCAAGAAGTACAACATTTTTTTTTTTAAGTTTTCTTTTTTTTTCTCCGATCAGCTTTCTTCTTCTTCATATACACAGAAATTTAAAATTAAACAATATTTAAAGTAAATATAGTTTAATATATAAATATTAAGCTATTAAACTATTCAGTGGGGTCAGCTGTCGAGGCTGAAGCGGTCGCTGCCGTTGCCGTTGCCGGCGCTGCCGTTGTATGACGCTGCCTTAAAAGACTGTTGTTACTAGTTGTTGTTGTTGTTGTAGGAATATCGGCAGTTGTACTTGTCGTCGTATTATCGTTTATTAAGTTTTCTGTCGTCGCAGTCGCGTTATCATTTTGATTTGCTGGTGTTGTCACATTTGCCTCATTTCTGTTTTCTGCCGTATTTGTCACTAGATTATCAACTTCATTTTGCAATTGTTCTAGCTCGCGCTCGTAGACACGTCTCGTATAGATAAGAAAACCCATCAGTAAAGTTAATATGGCTATCAAATATAAATCCCAATTAGCTTCTATACTTTCGTCCAAGTAAAATATGAATCGATACGGTGACTGAAATGAATTAAACCGTAAAAATTTTGAAAAAAAGAAAAAAAAATGTATTCACTGTTACCTCCTTAATGGCTTCAATTTTAGTTAAAATTTGCAATTTTATTAATGCGATCGCAACCGGAATTTTAGCATCTGCATTGGTTTCGGCTGCCAAATCATATAAACGTTTCGCCAAATGCCAATCTTTCTTCATACCTAAGCCTTTCTCATGCATGTAACCTAAATTAAACATCGCTTGTGCATTATACTGTTGTTCGGAAGCTTTACGATATAAAGCAGCTGCCGTTTCAAAGTCCACATTAGTACCCCAACCGTAATAATAATAATCACCAAGTTTAACTTGAGCAGCTGAATAACCTTGCGCTGCTGCACGCTTCCAATAATAAAAGGCACGTATTAAGTCTTCGTTGCGATCATGGAAAATGGTTACATCACCACGATCTAAAAGAAACGCTGCATTACTTTGGGCTACTTCGTAACCCAATTCCGCTAGCAAAGCGTATTGCATGTAAGCTTTATCGACATGAGAGTTTTTATAATCGTTGTAAGCATGCATTAAATTGATGCCCCATCGACCACGTTCGGCTACATTTTTAAAGAACTAATGAAGATTTTATAAATTATTATTTCTTATTAAGAATAGCTTTAATATAATACCTCTACAGCGGTAGGACAAGAACGCAACATGCCCATGCCATATGCATGCATTATACCCAAATTGTAGTAAGCCAAAACATGACCAGATTGCGAAGCCAAGTTAAAATATTTAAATGCCAGTTTGTAATCAGTTTTCACACCATTACCCGCTAAATTTATATAGATATATATATATATATATATATAGATGGAGTAAAAACATTGAGAAATTCAAACGCTTTAAGAAAACTTACTGAAATACATTTTTCCCAATTGCAACTGACCGTCGACCCAACCTTGATCGGCGGCCATATTAAAGTAATTTAAAGCCTTCATAGCATCCTTTGGTACTCCCAAACCATTTAGATACATCAAACCTACACCACTTTGTCCAACAGGATCGCCTAAATTCGCTGCTTTGGCAAAATACTAGAACAAGGCAAAACCTTCTCAAATTCTTAGTATTCTGAGGATAACTTTACTCATATTTACCTTAAATGCGGTTTCATTGTCAGCCTTTATGTGCTCACTACCTTCTAAGTACAATTTTCCTAAAAAAGCATATCCAATGGCATTGCCAGCGTTAGCTGCTAAAGTAAAATATTCCAAAGCTTTCTGATGATCTTGCTGTATTGCTTTGCCTCCTTGATAATATAATTGTCCTAAGCCGACTTGCGATTGCACGTCACCTTTATCGGCTAAGAGTTGATAATACTCGACAATTTCGTTTTCCTGACTACCATGATTTTCCGATTCATCCAGCAAACGTACACGATGCACTACGGGACCACTTGAAAACGTGATCTTATTAGCCACCTTTTTGGCCACTTTCTTATAATAGGACAGAGACTTTTCACAACTGGCCGGTACGTTAATACCAAACGAGTAGCGGTAACCCAAAGCCATTTGAGCGAAAGTATGATCACCCAATGCGGCCAATGTCAGATGTATAAGAGCCATTGATTGACTTACGTTTTTGCCGCCAACACCGACCGAATAGAGAAATGCTAGACCCTAGAAAAAAAAAAAAAAATCAGGCAATTAAGTATAGAAATTGCGTAAATAAAACGCTTACAATATTGGCTTCCGGTAAGCCTTCTTCCGCTAAGACGTCGAACTCTTTAGCGGCATAAGCAAAATCAAAATCCATATTATGGCCTAAAACACGGGCCCAAGCAAGTTCAGCTCGTGCATGATTATGCTTCATTTCAGCTGCTTTACTCATGAGAGTGTACACGACACGTTTATCTGCATTTGGCTTAGCCAGTAACTCCATAGCTTCTTCATACATACTATGAGCTAAAAAATTTAAATCATTTTTATATAGCAAAAATATTATATACATTCATATATATATATATATATATATATACTATTCCACTCTAACCTTCAATTTGTTCTGGTGTTGGATCTATAATCTCTTGAGGCTCGCGTCTAGCTTCGATTGCTTCAATTTCATCTTGAAGTTTTTGTCTTATTAGTTTCTCGTTCCATAACTGTTCAAAAATGGCATCTTTCAATAATTTTGCCCCCGAACTTCCCAACTCAGCTTGCAGACTTGCACCGGCTTGATGAGTAGCAGTAGCTGCTGACATCTGATCGGCAATATATTTAACTGCTTTACGTTGATTCGTTGGCAACTCGGTACTTGTTTGGTCATCTGTTTCCGATTCTTTGGATTTTGTTACCTCTTCGTGGCTGGCCGTGCTTAATGATTGCTCATCATCATCCTTACTAGTTGCAGGCGCAGCTACTTCAGGACCTCGCAAATCAGCTGTTACCATTAAGCACGTATGTGACAGCAACGCCAATGCAATGGCTATTATGCCCAAATTCATATTTTGTTGCGTTTCGTTTTTCTAAAAATACAACAAATATGTCATCAGTAATAAAATAATAAATATCAAACGCAATTTCTTTTGCTTCACTGAAAATTTTGAGTGAATAAATATATATGTTCTTTTTGTCAATCGTAGTGTTGTTGTTTTTTTTTTTGTTTTTTTCTTTTTGATTATTAATTCTTTTTTTTTTTTAATTGCGAATATTTCCCAATATACTGACGTGTTCCAGTGCCTATAGTTTTTTATAATTAAAAGGTGCTCTTCGGATTTGTGCTAAAAGCACTTCTTCACGTACTTTTGTACAATTTTATATTAAGAAAATAAATTTAGCAAATTTACTAACATAACATTCTTCGATTTTATTTATGTATTTTAATCGTAAAATCTCTTCTACTATTTATTTTTTCAATTAACAGGATTCCCACGTAAGACTTTACTAAGTTGCGTTAGATGTTGCTTTAAAGTATACCGTAAGAATTATTTTGGGGGAAAATTTTCAATTACAATTTTATGGGATCATATCCATATGTTCATAAACTGATTATGGATCAATTAGAAAAGAAGAAAAAAATAAATAAAATATCTATAGAATAGAAGTTTTACGATATCTCTCGCTCCTCTAAATATGAAAAGTTTCAAAATAATTATATTCCATCTTTTAATAATAAAACTATAAATTAAAAAAGTCAACAGGGTTATAAAAAACGTGTATTAAATTGAGTCATGCAAGAATCATACCCTAGTTGATGAACTCTACACGTACTTTGCATCATAAATTTTCTGAAATAGGGGACATTGCATAAGAGTATATGTTTATTTGATATTTTCTTCACTACTTCAAGTCCACAGTTAAAAAGGGCTTAACATGGTAAGAACCACATATTTGCTCAACTATCACAAAATGCCTCCATTTGTATTTATGTCAAGTACGTCTCGGTGAGATGCGAAATTAGTTTTATTAAATGTTTTCCTTTGTTTCAATAAATGTCTTGTTCAAAATTCATTTTCTCTAAATTTAATAATTATTTTGCTCTTTTTTTTTCCTTTTTTGTTAAGTTTATTTTAATTAGTTTCATTTATTAATTAACAACATATAATAATAATAATAATTATAATAATTATTAATGATTATACAGACAATAATAATTATTGCTGTAATGAGTCTAATAAAATCGAAGAATGTTATGTTAGTAAATTTGCTAAATTTATTTTCTTAATATAAAATTGTACAAAAGTACGTGAAGAAGTGCTTTTAGCACAAATCCAAAGAGCACCTTTTAATTATAAAAAACTATAGGCACTGGAACACGTCAGTATATTGGGAAATATTCGCAATTAAAAAAAAAAAAGAATTAATAATCAAAAAGAAAAGACAAAAAAAAAAACAACAACACTACGATTGACAAAAAGAACATATATATTTATTCACTCATCTGAGATGAGTCTATTTTTTGCGTGAATTAAAAGTGTAATGATAATTTAGAAAATTAGGAATACTTTCTTTTCATTAACAAATTAAGTTAAAATAAGAGCAAACGTTTACATTTGTCGAATCAGAATACCTACAAACAGGCAATGTAATCTATTATTTAACTGAGTTCAATTGTATAGTATATTAAGAATCGCTGATATTGTGCCAATCATGTATATAGGAAGCCGTCGAAAAACGCGAAATGCTTTAAAAAACGCACTAAATTGGCATCACTACCTCGGGCCTAAAGTTTTTTTCAGCCAAAATTAATCTTTTAATTAATTAAAAAACAATAGATTTTTAAATTTTATATTCACTAATTATCATAGTTGTTTAATATAAAGCATACAAGGTTCAGTTATTGCATAAAAATAAAATATGTCGGAAACTAACGGTAAGTAGTAAAGGCAAGCTGATGTATATTCATCGAATAATGTGAAAGCTAAAAAAAAAAAAAAAAAAAATATGTCAGGCGGTTTGTATTCCATACCAGGAAGCAGTAGTAAGCAAGCGTTCGATAGATATATTGCAACGTAGTGAAAAAAAAAAAGAAGGAAATGATAAAAGTTATCAAACAATTTTGCAGATAATTCAAATGAATCAAACAGCATGGGCAGTGATACAATAGTGCAGACATCACGTTTAGTAAATGTAAGTGGCAGCGGCACGACGGTTAATAATCCAATTGTAAGAACCGGCGTTTTACGTCCCTCAGTATTGGGACCATCAAGATTGACTTCAAGTTTGTCCACTAATAACACAAACGCTGCACCAGCAATTGCTGATAGCGGTGATGATGGCACTGAATCTAATAAAGTAAAAGATGCAGTTAAGGCAAATCCCTTTCTTAAGGAGCATAAAGCTGATGACGAAGAAACAGTCGCAGAAACATCCAGTGCTATCAATAAAAAAAAGGATGACAAAAACAAAGGTGATACCAGTAGTGATGACACCGAAGATCATCCTGATCCAATGTCGCTATTGCGTAAAAACGGTTTTGAGCGCGCGAATCTTTTTGCGGCCGCGAAAAATTCCATACCTTTAGTGGAGAAATCGGGTTTTGTGTTTGGTCAAAACGTACACGAACGGGTAGTAGGTGTAAGTCGAATAAAAAAAAATATATATATATACATTTTTTCCATTATTTTGATATTTTGTTAAGCTTGTAATTGATTTCGATGGCTTTTTCATTTATTTAGGAAAATGTTAAACCTGAAAATTCGAATAAACCAGAAAATGCTGAACCAGCCGGTTCAAGTGGGGGCGAGCTATTATTTTCAAGCGTTATACAAAGTGCTGCCGCAAAAACAGCAGACAAGAATGGAGCTTCTGCCCTTGATAACGCAGAAACGAAAAGTCTTAACGATGTGGCCCGTGAATATGAAGAAAGTCGTGCCCAAAAACGCAAATTTGAGGAAGTAGAAACATTTACCGGCGAAGAAAACGAAGTCAATATTATTGACGTAAGTAGTATTATTATTACGTATAAAAATTTTTTTTGGAATTAATTATCGTCGGCATTATTCTCGCTTTTCAGGTAAATTGCAAACTGTTCGCCTTTATGAATAGTAATTGGGAAGAACGTGGTCGAGGTAGTTTACGTCTTAATGACTCCAAAAAAGAGCAAGAATGTTCACGTTTAGTGTTTAGAACATCCGGCAATTTGCGTTTGCTCTTAAATACAAAGGTAACTTTAATCGTAATTAATTTATTTAGTTACAATGGTTTAGTATTATTGACAGTGAAATATTTATTCTTTCGATTTTATTTTAAATTACGCCATAATTTATTAAAAATATTTCTGATCAAATCGAAATCCAAAATTAATATGTTCTATAGCCATCTATACCAGTCAAGCAATAGAATGTAGTCAGAATACTTTCGTGCAAAAAATTCAATGGTAGTGAGGCGCATGGAAAACAATTTTTCTTAAATATTGTTATCAATGACAAAAATGTAAAAGTGAATTTAAAAAGTTGAATGGTAATTTATATTGGGCAAGCTTCCAGTGTTATAAATAATTACTTACGCCAATATTGTTAAGATGAGAAGTACCTATTCGCGGTGTTTATTTTTGCCGGAAGTCATAACTGTCATAGCATAATTGACTTATTGCCGGAACTTAGTTTAAATTGTGTTTTTAGTTATTCAACATATTTATCGTAGGGCTCTTGTGATCTCCACTAAGCCACTAATGCAAGTTTCTTCTGTATGTCAATACAACTTCGTCCTCTTCCAAATACGAGAAAATTCAAATCAATAAGACTTAATTCATTCAAAATATTATTATGATTATATTCACAATCATATTTATATGCATATTTAGGCTTTTCTTTTTTATCGTATTGTCGTATTCTATTAAATATTATCATAATAACAATGAGAATATGTGTTATAGGTTTGGGGCGGTATGGTAGCAGAACGTCCCAGTCAAAAATCCTTACGCCTGACTGCAATGGATAATACGGGTAAAATCAAAATTTTTTTAATTATGGCGCGACCAGTGGAAATCAATCAGTTACACACTGCTCTTGTTCAACGTATTCGTAAACGAAAAGCATCACATCCCGAGGAATTTTGTGCGGATAATAGTAATAATAGTGCCGACAATAATGTGGATAGTGAAACAGAAATGGAAAGCAAAAATGGTGCAGAAAAGGACGTAGCTGAGAAGGCAGCTTTAGTTGCCGAACCTGAACCTGATGATTCCACCGAACCTAGCCCTAAGAAAACTCTTTCCGCTGTATCTGAAGAAGCGACAAATATCGAAACAAATAATTAATAAACAAAAAAAAAAAAAAAAAAAAAAAAAAAAAAAATTAAAAACAGGAAAATGCATACAATAATAAGATTAATTACAAAAGAACAATCGCTCGGCAAAGATATGTTTTCTTAAATACTTATTTGTTAATTCGTTTTATCATATATTCTTTTTTCTTTTTTTTTTTTTGTCTTTGTCTTTGTAATTTGCTAAATTAAGAGAAAGATTTTCAATTTCCATCTTAACAATTAAAAAATCAATAATCATTAAATATACCCGTAGTTAGCAATTATTTATCTTCCTTTTTTTTTTTTAAATTTCAAATAACTCAAGATTTGCACGTTTTTGAAACTGTCTTTTAAAATGTCAAATATTCAATTAAATACATAAACATTTATTTTGTAATTCTCTTTAAAGTAACTTAGCGCATAAAGTAAACATTTAGACTTTATCACAATGTTTATAATAAACGAATGAAATGAAGTTGTATTTGAAATATATGTAAATGTATTAGGAAACTCCTCTATTTTTTTTTTCGTCCTGATGTTTTTTCTAATAAACAAAAAAAAAATTCTTTTTCTTGATAGATGGCTTATTTGTTAACTTGCATAAGCGTCATCGATTGAAAGATAGTTTTCAGCTTTAAAAGCCAGTGCATAGCTTGACGATTCATTTTACAGCAACGAGATTTCAGAACCATTGTCTACGGACACATATGCAAATTAAATCACATGGCTATATATTCTCTGGTAACAGTATTCATCGGCCGTATTAAAATGTGCAATAACCTAAAATTTCAGAGAGAGAGAATGGGAGAGAGACTGGGAAACATATTGTCGTCATTAAAGTGCGACGAGCAGATATCGAAATGGATCTGAAAGTTGGGTTAAATCGCCTGAAAAATGAAGCTTTGATTAATGCCGTTTGGGTTGGACTTAACTTGTTATTTACAGCTGATGATTTTATATTTAAAAGCAAACACTAGTTTCTATCTGTCACCTTTACTACCGAACTTTCTCGATGTTTTTTAACCAGACAAACGCCAGCAGTTGTGCGAACGATAGCTAAAGCAAATCACTTCGTTTTCGAAAATTTGATACATCAGCTGGATTTCACGTCCACAATTTTAGTTGCTTCCTTTTTTGTCTATTTTCCCAAATTATCTTCAAGACTTATCGGTCAATGTAGTAAACTCTGTCTGTTTGTCTGTCCGTCTTACTTTTACAACATCTTGTACTTCTGTACTATTAAAATTACTCTGCAAGAAATGAATATAGCAACGGAGACTAGACCTGCTGTCGCGCAGAGTAGAGGCTTCCTGTTGGACGTTAAAGCAACGAATATAAATATGTATATATAGAAAATATATGTACATAAATGTATATTATGTACACATACATATATTTATATATATATTATATATGTGCATTATATTATAAATATATCTATTACATATACATATATATATATATATAGATATCTTTATATTTATATATAAAGACATCTTTCCTTATAGATATGTATGGATGTATGTATATGTTCATAAAAGGAAAATAATTACCAAATTCTTTTTTCTACCTTCTTTCTTAGGCTTTAATTAATGAGAACATAATTTGGCAAATAAGCTTTTTAATGAGAACACAATTTAAACAAAAACGTCTTCAATTGTAATTTCAACATTTTCAATACTTTAAGAGGCATTCCTGCTTGGAAGCATAATAGCCCCTAGTGACTTATTTGATTTACAGACATCGTTTGAAATTTGTATATTATTATTATAATTTTGATCGCCCTAAACTTTTCGGAACAACTATTCAGCTACAGCATGCAATATCAATTTCATAAGTTACTTTATTAAAGCTACGAGACTAAATATCAAAATTTCCTTTCTAAAATAGAGCCGATAGCTTATTTTGATAATGCTCTTTTTCCTCCTTCAGCTTAAAAGAAATAGCACAGTAATCACAATACTATTAGAAATTATTTAGATCAAATAAATAAATTGTAGGATTAAATGGAGATTCTTGTTGACTATAATCTTCTAGAAACTTGCATAGATTAACGGAAGAAACATTTTGAAAAAGTCAAACAAATAAAGAAAAGAATATATTTTAGTTCAGTATTTTAGTTTCCTACAGCAATTATCCTGCTGACTACACTTCCCAGGAAGGAATGAATGGGTTTTTTTTATCTTTTTTATAGATCACATCAAACATAATTTTCATAGGCTTCCATATAATTTCCAGTAACAGCGAAGTACAACATTTGCCGTGTTTTTTTTGCAATAATTTTTTCTAACATTCTCCACTATTACTAGTGCTGCTACTGTTAGACGCCTGCCCCTTCCTTCTATCTATCATTTTTCTTCTCATCTCGAAGGAAGTCTTTCAAAGGAGACTTTTTGTCGGTCGGGATTACGGAGGTGCTTGGTGAGCTGTTATCTACGTAATATAAATTATTTAATTTAACTCTCTATTCTAAATCCTTTTTTTGATTTTATGGATATATTAAGAATATCGATTAAACAAGGCAGAAACAGAGCGCAATTAATTAGTGAAGGTTTAATTAGACTAATGTTAAAAGTTAAAAGTAGAAGTGAGAAGTTTTCAAATTTTGCACACCGTGTTTGTTTTCTTTCGAAAAGGTGTTTTGATCCATAAACGGGGCGAATGCGTTCCCTTTTAAGCTTTGTTTTGCTGAAAGTTTTCTTCTTATCATTTCTTTTATCATATAATACATACTTGCTTGTCATTTCACAATATTTCCAGGGAAATATTTTTAAAAACAAGGGATTGCAAAAATCAAAACAATTCGTTCTTTTTGTTCTGCAATACAAATTACAATTCTAGAAATTTCTGGATAACTGCGCGCTACAGACGTAGACAAAAAGCTTTTTTTTCAGTCGATGAAAAATTTTAGTCAAATAATGCAGCGTTGTAACGAATTCGCATTATTGTCAAAGATTGCCGTACGTTCTCGTATTTGTTATTTCAAATATCGTAATATATTACATTATATACAGATTTTGTGGCATTAATACATTTTGACAGTTGCCCAATTTCCAATATCGTAAAGTAAGTTGGAAAAGAAAACGAAAGCAAGATTGCCGAAAAACTGTAACAAAGTCATTAAAAAGTAGGACACGGCCTATTGGACATCATATGTTAGAAGTGTGGAAATATTCCATCAAATCTATTGACCTATTTGCCTTGATTTGCCCCCAAATACATATAGAAATGAAGAAAAACATGTTTGTTAAGAAACGGACAGTTAATGCTCGTTCGAAAAATACAAATGGTGGTATATTTTCGCATAATATATGGGTTCATGCAAGCTAAAAAATCATCTCTTGCCATCAAGTTGCATGAACACGCTAAAGCTTCTTTTCCATTTCAATTCATTCAGATTAGAGTCGTACATTCTTTTCAAAATTGGAGGTCGAACCATAACATACTGGTTAAGTTTTTTGATAATGAGAAGAACACAAGTGAAGTTATAAAAATATCATTAATCTGAACATATAGGTTCATGTGCATGCTTGCCAAAAAAAAATAAAACAAATTAAGAATTATTATGAAAGGAAAAATTTTCAACTCACGCTTTGAATAGCTTGAGTTTATTTATCGCGCCATTTTGAAAGTTTCACAATTGTGCTTTTGAATAATTTACGTTTAATCTTTTTCTATTCGCCTTCATTTACTGTTTGTAGGATTTGTAACCGCAATTTTATAATCGTTTCTAAGCCGAAATAGCAACGTCCGCGAGGCAAAAACTGTTAGTCTGTTTACAGTGGATAAAAATTGAGAGCAAGAAAATATTTAGAGATATCGCTTTTCATTGCATTCTTTAGCTATTGCTTCGTACACATCGGAAGATGGCTACGCCAAAATCTAATCAAATACTTTTAAAAACCAAATTATTAAACAAAGAGAGTACCCTCGATTTTTTGAGTGATGGTGAGTCAATCTCTTATCTATACAATAGCGTTTAAAATGCCTAACCAAGAACATTCTAGGATCTAGTGGCATTGGTTACATAAGAAAAAAACAACAAATGTTACCTTTACGCGTTGAAAGTAAATCGCAAACTCGATTCGCTGATCAATTCGTATTAGCGCATTCAAATGTACCAGTTGCCCGGTTGAAAAGTCTCGCTGATGCTCAATTTTTATCGGCGATATCAGAGGAGATGTCACGCATGCGGATAAATAAAATCAACCACATCCAAACCTATGCGTGGCCGCATATGCTTCGAAATAATTCGCTTTTTATAATCAATTCGAGTAAATCTGGCAAAACGTGGTCATACTTGCCAGCTTTATGTAGTAATACTTATTATGATAAGAACATTTTAGAACCGTCCTATGGACCGATAGCCATTGTTTTGGTAGCTTCTTCGAAACATGTTGAGCAAATTACTTATAATTGCAAATTTTTATTGTCCAGCCTAGGCAATAAGGCGCCCTCTATAGTTTCATCCTTTGGCTTTCGTACTTTTGTAGAAACTAAAGTTCAATTATTGAATAGTTGTGGCATACTCGTAATCACGCCCTCCAACTTACTTCGCATTTTCAAGGATAACAAGAATGAGCCGTTGATAGATGCGAAACGTTTGCAGCGCATTATTATTGATGATATGGACTTACTCTTAATTCGTGCTCGCGGGGATTTTGAATCTGCGTTACAGGCTTTATTTAAACTGTGTAAAAGAACTAAGGCAAACACAATTTTACCTCAGATCGTGGTAACTTCACGCGAATGGAATCCCTTTCTTGTTAATATTATACGTTTATCGAATCAGCCATTGTTGCTTTTTGGCGATTTTTTAGAAGCTACCGTTTACGGTAGAGCCCAACTTTCGATAAAATTGAGTTCCAATTTAAAGAAGAACGAATCTCTACGACGATACCTTACGATGTGTAAAGACAGTATTTCAAAACAAATACGTACCATGATTATCTGTAACGAGAATGATGAGGTCGGACCGATAGTAAAATTTCTATGTGAATTTGATTATCCTAGCATTGGCTATATAAACCCGTTCACTAATAATGAACGC